TACGCTGGCCTGAGCCTTCCCCCACCTCGTTATATAAAACCTAATTAGTTAAAGGGCAATTCAGATGAAACTTTTATTTGAGGGATTTAGGAGTATTAAAGCAAAGGGGGAAGGCAAACAAGGCTGCTCTCTGCGTAGCATGAACACGGCAGCTAATAACCTCGGGCAGGGACAGGGCTGACCTTGTGATTCTCCTCACGATCCAGGCTTCCTCTGTACATCGGTATCAAACAGAAATGTTTGGATGCTGCATGGAGAACAACTTTGACAAGGTCTCCAGCTCTAAGGCCTTCAAGTATGAAAACAGGTCTAGGCCAGTGGTCGGCAAACTGTGGCTCGAGAGCTACATGCCTCAATTAGATTGAGGACATTTTTAGCAAAGGCCAGCTTAGACGTACCCTAATTAAGTTAATAACAATGCACCTACCTATATAGTTTAAGTTTTAAAAAGTGTGTCTCTCAAAAGAAATTTCAATCGTTGCTCCATTGACTAATGAGTTTGCCGACCACTGGTCTAGGCTTTCCCAATCGGCTGACGGACCCCTATAGGTGACACTTCCCTTGTTTACTGGTCCTGCCGATTACATCAAATTATAGGTGGATGTTTGACTCTGTGATGAAGGCGATGCCCATTGTAAGAGCAAACAGGAAAATGGAACTATTTCCCTTACGTGAATGATTGTCTGGAATTGAAGGCCTTGGAGAGGAGGGGATGGCCAAACACCTGCACCCACATTCTATGCTTTTCATGCCAGGAATCTGAAAATAATTTAAGGCAATCGTGTTTACTTGGGTTCACAGAAAGTCCCCCTCTCTCTTCTTCTGTTGCTTTTCAAAGAAATACTTGGATTTATTAAAAAAAAAAAAATTCCAAGTTTTCTGAAATGGTGTTTTCGGACATGATCTTTCATTTCAACGGTTGGTCTAGCTTTAACCTCAGACTCATCTCATCCCTTTTTAAGGGTGATAATCACCCACACAAACCCATCTGCACCTGAGGCCAATGCTTGCTGCTCTAATTATGTTCTTTCTAAGAGCCGTTTCCACATAATTAGCGAAATCACTTACTTTTCAGGATGAAGGACCAGATAATATATGTTAGGAGGTAACAATTAGTTTGCCACCTTAACAGAGACGCCCACACCAAACCAACTATTAGTTTGGATCAACAGCATCAACAAATGTTCACTTGAATGAATCATGAGTTTGCTTATCCAGGCATAATACATGAAGAAAAAAAAATAAAAACCTGAATGAATTACTACCCCGTCAGGTAATCAGGGCTCCTGGGGATGATCTATTTTGGGATCCATTCATTGCTGACAACATCACCAGTGTTTTCTTCAGCGGTGGCCCAAGTACACGGAAATGACTGAGTTTTGAGAAATCAACAACCTTTGGGGATGACTGGACAACCTACTTGCTCATGGAGAGACAGCAGCAGCTACCAATGACCTTAATGGGAAATTTGTTTCAAACACGTTTAGCAGATGATCAGAAAGGATGACCACTCTGTCCATGCATTTGAACCTGACTTAATACAGGTATTGGTAGTTCGAGATCTATACTGACATCTATCAGGGCTCCCACATCTTCAGCCCTAGTATATATGTGAACTTACGGTTATATACATTAATAATTTACGTCGATAATACACATCATTCGTGTTCCTTGAGATGCACTTAGCTGAAGGGTCTCCTGAGAGTGAGGGCATCTTTCTGTATATACTTGGTGGAACTATGGTCATTGATTCCTTCTGTGGGATGAAGGGAACAGCCCTGGCCAAGGTTTGTACCTGGAACCCCCCTTCCTGTGCCCTCTCGAACGGGCAGTGAGTCATCTATCATGAAGTCCTGCCCCAGAGAGGAAAGGAATCCAGCAGAGTGCCTTCTGAGCCCACAAAGGAATCATGAGGATGCCACTAAAGCAGCCTGGAGTAGAGATATAATCATGTCTGATGGGCTATCATACGTCTCTGGACCTGAATGCCAGGCAACAAGCAAGCTAGTCCTGCATGATGTTGGGTGACCCCAGGAAGCTCTTACATCCTGTTTTCTGGAAAAAATCTAAGGAAACACCCACCGCACTCCACGGAGAACAGCCAGAGGCCCCGTGAAGGCAGGGCACAAGTGCCCACATTACCTGCTGGAGGGTTTCGGTTGGGGATGCAGGAGCTAGATGTTCCCAGTCAATAATAAAGCCGAACACATCTCCCCAAGGCACAACGCAGCATCCTTTCGGGCCACCAGCGATTTGAAATCAAAACAAAGCCCCACAGAACGGGGGTTCCCGATTGGGTGTGTAAAAGGTCAGCATCTGCTGATGCTCGGAAATGAGGCATGAGGTGAAGGCGGCGGGATGAGATGGCCCGTGGATGGCACAGTGACAGGTCCATGCAGCTCGTGCCCCACACGCCCCACACGCCCCACACAGAAACACTCCTGGCCCCAGAGACCCCCTTTCCGTCCGTCCATTTCTGACACGTCAGACCGGCCGATGGCCACGGCGGCCTCCACCATCTCCCTCCGCTCGCTTCCCCAGGGGTCCCTGTCTGCTCTCAAATGAGAGCCGCAAGGCCTGAAAGGAGCAGGTCGTGGGGCGTGGCTACCATCAGGCAGAAAAGGGGGACTCTGAGCGCTGTGGCCCCTGAACCCCTGGGTGGCCTCCCTCAAAAGGCCCCGTGGGCAGTGCAAATGTCAGGGGAAGCCACAGACTGGCTTATCTGATTCGTAGGATTCATGGCAAACGACGTAAGCAAGGCTGGGAGAGGAGGAGGAATTCCAAAGACATAAAGGGTATAGGAGTGCAATAGCGGACAGTTCTTTATCGTTGATGGAGCCATTTTCTAGATCCCGTGGTCTGCAAACTGCGGCTCTCGAGCCACATGCGGCTCTTTGGCCCCCTGAGGGTGGCTCTTCCACAAAATACCAAGGTCTGGGAGAGTCTATGTTGAAGAAGTGGCGTTAGAAGAAGACTAAATAATTTGGCTCTCAAAAGAAGTTTCAATTGTTGTTCTGTTGAATATTTGGCTCTGTGGACTAATGAGTTTGCCGACCCCTGTCCTAGATATTTCAGTAGGTGGAGAATCAGGTAGAAGCTGAAAAGGGAAATGGGGCTAGAAACCGGAGAACAGACTAGAACTCTGTGATTGGGCTTAATCCACCAGGCCTGGGAGGAGCACACGCGTGTCTGCTGACCCACCCGAGGGCCCGTCCCTGCCGCTGTACCTCAAGGCCTGCGTCTGTGACCTGTCCGCTCCTCTGCAAGGGGCAGCCCCGAGCGCTCTCCGCAAGGCCACGGGGAGGACGCTGCGTGTACGTGGCTGGGGGCCTCCCGTGGCTGAGAACACGCCTTCCCTCTGCACCCGGCACCGACCTTGCCACGGCTTAACCAATCCGCGCTGGGGCAGGCCCAGGCTGCAGCAAACGGGGATTTGTGTTGCGAGTGGGAACACCTGGCTGGTATTTAGAAGGCTCAGGAAGCTGTTTTACTTAAAAGCATGGTTGGCAAACTGCGGCTCGTGAGCCATAGGTGGCTCTTTGGCCCCTGGAGATTTTAGCAAAGGCCAGCTTAGGAGGACCCTAATTAAGTTAATAACAATGTACCTACCCGTATAGTTTAAGTTTAAAAAATTTGGCTCTCAAAAGAAATGTCAATCATTGTCCTGTTGATATTTGGCTCTGTGGACTAATGAGTTTGCCGACCACTGGCCTAAAGGATGGGATGCTGGATGGTCTCGCTGCAGCTGTCACCCTGCACCGCCCCAGGACAGGGAGGAGAGACAGCTGTGAGAATTCCTCCCTTGTTCTCTTCCTTGGGGCTTGCTTTCCCGTTACTCAGCAGCCACCAGGAAGGGTGCGATGGGTCAAGATGGGTGCGATTCTGCCAAGTTCTGAGTCCTTACTGCTTTTCAGGCAAATGTCAGGGGTCCTTGGCTCCTACACAATGAGAAAGCTCCCGCCCCATTCTCCCTGAACAGCTGGGAAGGGCTCTGGGCTGGGGCATCAGACCTACTTCCCCTGCGGGCACAAGGGGCATTTTCTTTTCGATTCCTTATATTTCCATGAAAAGATTTCTTGCAGAAATTTCTAGGAGCCACGCTCCTTTATGCTGCATGTATTTTTTGTTGTTTTGTTTTGTTTTAAATCCCTCTTCTTTAGCAAACTTAAAGCTAAGTCATCAGGAAAACCTGGACCTTGGTATTTTAGGAGGGAGAGACAGACAGACTGATTCGTTTTTCCCTCCAAAAAGATGAATCCTGATCAGAACCTGCTTCTTTCAGGCCTTCACCAAGACTGACGCTGCTGGGACAGCACAATTCCCTCCCCCTGGCTTCCGGGATTCTCTTTGGAGTCTAACGGACGCGCAAGCATTCACTGGCGTCTGTTCTGATTTTCTAAATCTGTGGTCGGCAAACTGCGGCTCGTGAGCCATATGCGGCCCTTTGGCCCCTTGAGTGTGGCTCTTCCACAAAGTACCATGGCCTGGGCGAGTCTATTTTGAAGAAGTGGTGTTAGAAGATGTTTAAGTTTAAAAAATGTGGCTCTCCAAAGAAATGTCAATCGTTGTACTGTTGCTATTCGGCTGTATTGATAATGAGTTTTGCCGACCACTGTGCTAAATGATGGTGGAAAGCTCGTCCAGGGGGAGCGTTCCATCGGATTGCTGGTGACTAAGTTGGGTCAATAGGACTGTTCCTCTTTTGGCCAAATGAGCTCTGGTAACTCCAGGAATTGCACCTGAGAAGCAGCCCTCACTGGTCAGACAGCAGGGCAGCTGGGCTGTGCCTGAGCCCCAGGGTCTGCCCAGGTAACCCTCTCACCCGTGGTCTCATCACATCTGGGCCGAGAACGAACCCAATCATTCAATCCACAGAGAAATTTTGTATCAGAAATGGAGGTGGGGAAAACAGATCTGAGGAGCAGAACAACAAAGCGAAGCTAGCTTCGACTGCTTGGTGATTTTTTTTTTTTTTTTTTTTTTTTTTTTTTTTTACTTACTACCGATACTGGAAATACTGGGGATACCTAGGGAAAGAGAAAAGAGAGAGAGAAAAGCTGTTAGATGTGTATTAGTTAGGCGTCGTGAACTCAATATAAAAATCTCAGAAACATAACAAGCGATAACATCCCGACCATGAGGGCATCGGCTCGGAGAAAGCAGTGTCTCCGTCCCTCTGCGGAAGCCACTTTGCTTTCGCTGTAGAATTCCAGAACTCATCGGAGTCAGGAAATCAAGGCTCGGCTCCCGCAGCTGGCTCGAGGCAGCTTCATATCAAATCACATGCTGTGTTGGCTTATAAGGTGAGCGACATGTGTATGTGGTTCAAAAAAGATATTAAAAACTCGGCTTCCGGGCACAGAGGACCAAACAGACCCAGCGTGGACCTCTGCAGAGAAACCCACATAACGGACTAGGTCTCTCTCAATGTGCTATGACTGTGGTCGGCAAACTGCGGCTCGGGAGCCACATGCGGCTCTTTGACCCCTTGAGTGTGGCTCTTCCACAAAATACCACTGCCTGGGCGAGTCTATGTTGAAGTGGCGTTAGAAGAAGTTTAAGTTTAAAAAATGTGGCTCTCCAAAGAAATTTCAATCATTGTACTGTTGATATTTAGCCCTGTTGATTAATGAGTTTGCCGACCACAGCCCTAGGTGGTTTGGCTCAGTGGGTAGAGCGTTAGCGTGTGGACTAAAAGGTTCCGAGTTCTGGGTTGTGGCTTGATACCTAGAGAGGGTCATGCAGGAGGCAGCTGATCCATGATTCTCTCTCATCATTGATGTTTCTCTCTCTCTCCCCCTCTCCCTTCCTCTCTGATGCCAATAAAAAATATTAATAAAAAGAGGAAGAAAAAAAAACCCCACAAAAAAGCCCTAGCCAAGAGCAAAGGCACAGGCTGTGAGTTGGGAGCTTTGCTCTTTCACCTGCTGCCTGTGTGACCTCGGGGTAAGCTGCTGAGTCTCCAGGAGGCTCAGCTTCCTGCCTCACAGTGTTGTTGCAAAGATGACAGAAACTGACTTATGGGAAGCACTCAGAACATGGCTTGGCAGGTGGTATGTGCTCTCGCCATCTCTGTTACGATGACCATTGTTGGTGTAGTTGTTCATCAAACAAACAGCCCCATGATAGATATCGCCAATGAGCAGGCAGAGATTTGCATCTTCTCCGCTAAATTTGGGGTGAGAGCATGAGATGGAAGTCGGACTGTGCTGAGGAACAGGGATGCTCTGCCGTGGACCAGCTGGGGGACTGGGGACAAGCTCCCCGCTCTACCCCGTCTCCTCCCTGGCTCGGGGCTAATACTCTCTCCCGTAGAGGGCTGCTGTGCGTGCTGACCGGGATAATCCATAAAAGTGTCTGACACGCGCACGCAGCGTGTACAGGACAGCTGTTAATGAGCCGTTCGGACGTGCTGGTTACATCGTGAAGTGGACCAGCAGGTGGTAACTGGAGGAATCATTAAACTTCTATTTTCGTATTTATTTTTGAACCACCACCCTCTGCTTATTTTAACGGATCCCTGTAGATTCCTAGCTTTGTCTTCTTTAAAACCATTTTTCTTTTCCTATTTCTTCAGAGGGAGCGGAGAAGGAGGAACAAAAGCTGGCCATTATTTTTTAACACCTGGGAGGACTGAAATCCTATGGTCCATTATTAGATATATTAAAATTCTCTAGATTTTATTTACTTTTATTTTTAAAATATATTTTCATTGGTTTCTGAGAAGGAAGGGAGAGATAGAAACATCAATGATGAGAGAGAATCATTGATTGGCTGCCTCTTGCATGCCCCACACTGCAGATTGAGCCTACAACCAGGGCATGTGTCCTGACCAGGAATTGAACCATGGCCTCCTAATTCATAGTCAACACTCAACCACTGATGCATGATGCATGCTGGCTGGGCCACAGTCTTTCAATTTTAAATGAACACAGTTTATGGAGCTTCTGCTCAATTACTGATCACTGATCAACACAAACCGGAGACTGCAGTTTCTATTTCCATGTTTCAGCGCCGTCCAGCGAGGCAGCTCAAGCTGACTGCGCCCTCTGCAGAGGGCGGCTGCACTCCTGACTCACATCCAGTAGGCTCCCTTGCCACAGCGCCTTGGTACTGAAATTTTTTTTCCTTTGCAAATCCCCTGTTGAGTGAGGAATGATGGCCGCATCATCATTTTAGTACCAATGGCAGGAGGCTCCAAATTTCCCCGTGATTGAAAACCCTGCTCCACTGGGGGAAGCCGCTCGCCTGTGTCATCCATCAGAGTGAGTGGAAGGTGGGCTGCAGGAAGAGACGTCTCATGTGCTTGCAAACGCACGGGGAGCTAGAGGGCCATGCATAATGCAGAGCGAAGTTCTCAGTTCTCGGGGTGCGTGGGCCCCCCACCATGGAGAGCCAATCCCCGAGGCTGATGAGGCCCTTGCTGCAGTAAAACACTTCAGACTCATGCAAAGCTGTCTCCATTCCTCCGGGGAGCCCAGGGCAGAGCACCGCCGTGTTCGCTGCAGCTGCAATCCTCCTGAAGGAAGGCTATTGTGAGATCCTGTTTTCCATCAGCTGACATTTGGATGCTTAAAATGCAGGCTCTTCCTCACGTGGCGGCTGGCCTTTTTTGGAGATGTCACCAGGTGAGCCACGGCCTACTCCATTGCTGTCAGATGGGAATTGCTTCGAAGAGATTTTTTTTCCCCGACTGCTCGTTGGAATAGAGATTTTTGAAGTTGAGAACAGCTGACTGCCAAGGGATGCCTGCTGGAATAGTTTCAAATGTTCTTCTTTCCCTCATGTTTCTTATTTAATGTCCAAACACCTGGGTTTTGGTTCTCTACAGACAGCTGGTGAAGAATTTAATAAACCCATTACACTTATTAAAAGAGCTTCGAGCACGGGAAGGGAGGCCCTGGCCGGCAGCCAGCAGCCTCCAAGGACTCTACCCGTGCACGAATTTCGTGCACTGGGCCTCTAGTATTCTTTTAGTGTTTATGGAATTAATTACCTGGTGAACAAATAAGTGAACTTAAAGAGCCCTATAATGCCCAGGTGGGTACATTGATCAGGGCTGCCCCTGCCCCCTAGTCAAACTCCTGGTCAAGGGACAATTTGCATATTAGGGTTTTATTATGTAAGATAGGTAACCCCATTCTTAAATGGCTAGCATTTTAGTTCTTGAAGTCAATCAGAGCTGAGTTTAAGTCTTGCTCTGTCATGCATTCGCTGTGGGACCTTGAGGCACCTAATTAACCTCTCTGTGCTTGTGTCTCCTTATTTTTAGAATGGGGGGAAACAGTGAGGATTAAAGGCAAGAAAGCACACAAAGCACTTTCCAAAGCCTAAAAGCCTCTGGAAAGCTTAATCAAGAGAAACTAGCATTATTGTTCAAATGTGGGTGACCAATAGTAAGTGTCCATACATTGCCAAGACTCCAGAGAGGACAGAGCAGTTGATGTGGCATGGGAGAGTCAGATAGGCTACACTGAGGAGCTGACATTGACGAGCAGTCCTGAAAATGAGCAGGACTTCCATTGAGAGCGAAGAGAATGGGATGACTTCAGTATCCAGCGTGTTGACTTTGAGATTTGCATAGCTGGCAAAATTGTCTGGATTCATTAGAAAAACTCAGACTATAATTGGTAGATTATTATTGAACCAATAATACTAAGAACTAAAACCCAGGTATAGAACCAATATTACCAAGAACTAAAACCCAGGTATAGATCGGAATATCAAGGAAATGAAAAACACCTGTAGATCGAGAAGAGGCAGAGGTGGGGAGTCAGAAAATGTAAAGCAAGGGCAGAAGGGGGTTCTTTGAAGACAAAGAAACAACAAGTAGAGATCCAGGGAGAGAAGCAGAGATGAGAGGAAGTCACTGAGGTCCCCGGAGAAGCAAGATGGGGTCAAGACACAGCAGGGTTCTGACCCTCTTTCTGAGCCCGACTCACTATGTGAACCTCCAAGGTTCCTTTCCCTCCACCCTCACCCCATTCCAACTACAGCGTGAACACAGTAGCATCTTCCTCATAAGGTGGTTGTGAGTTAAGAATAAGATAATGCACTTAGAGCTCGATGGCAATTGTCTGGATGATGACATATATGTGTTAACCTGGGAAAATATAAATCGATCAATGCAAATGCAATACCAGAGAAAAAAAGAGAACCACCGCCAATTACTTCCCCTCACTCCGAGGAGCCCTGGGTCGTGTGCAACAATTCAAGTTGGATTTCTGAGCAAACAAATAATGTCAGTGTCAGACCAATTTAATTTTCTTTCTTGGGAGAATATGAGACCGTGTCGGTAGAAGGAAAGTGGGAGATTGAATGCAGCTCAACTAGCTGGGCTTTCTGTCTGCCTCCATGACATTTCTGTCTGCAGCCTGAAGGAACTCATTAGAATAGCTTGTCCCCCAAAGAGTAATTTAGAAATAGAAAGTTATTAGTGTCCTACAAACAAGAAATCTGGGAAACAGATTAAATTGGCTACTTGACTACAGGATTCTCCAATTTTTAAAATAAGGTAACGTGAATAGCTAAGAGTTAGGATAGTGGACAGCATTTTTCAAAATTTCTTAGCCATTAAATTCTTTTAAGGATCATAGAATATGGTATGGAAAGCAGTTTGGTGATATTATATTACTAGAGGCCCGATGCACAAAATTCATACAAAGGGCTTGGCCCTCGCAGCCCCATTTTCGTCTGGAAGGTTGTTTGGCTGTCTGGTCTAATTAGCATATTACACTTTTATTATTATAGATCCTTCCTGGAGTGATAGTCTCTAAGGTTGATTATTACGTTTGCAGCATCTCCATATAGAACAATGTTGTGTGTTATTCTGTAGGGATCAGAATGGAAAGAGGTGTGGCTCAATGATTTTATTCATGAGCTGATCAGTGAGCATCAAGAGAATCCGGACAGCACTGCTGTGGACTCAGAAGCCGGAAGTAACATTCAAAATGGGATTCCCTCAGAAACAGCACAAGGATCAACAGGAAGAAGAAGAGAGACGTCTTACCGATAAAACGTCACTTCTACCCATTTCTGTAAAGAAAGAAGGAAAAGATTTCGATGCACACACCCAGGGATTACCCAGCATGGGTGTCGTTCCCAAATCACCGAGGAGTGGATGCTGAGCGGTCAGAGACTGCAGCCACAGCCTTTTTACTTCTTAGGTTTTCCATTTTTGAATTAGGATGTGGCATATCCAAGTGTCCCTCTTCGAGAACTGACTTGCAATTCACCAAATGGACTCACAGGTCTGAGTGTGTGTGGTGGGGTGCGGGGGAGAAGGGCTTGTACACGCAGGTGCCCGTGAGCTCATGAATGCACATGCATAGGAAAAAGCCTGTATACAATGAAAACCATAACAGCGCTATAAGTCCTGGGCTTGACTTTAAATTCCTACACTAAACAATGAGAGGGATTTCCTGGGCCAGCAACCAGGTAAGAGGCCTGCACATCTGAAAAAGGAGTTACTGATGCTGACCCGGTAGGAAAAGAAGCCGGGGCCAGTGTAATTCTTTCTCTATTTAAAAAGAAAAAAAAAAAATAGGCGGTTGGAAATGCAGAGACACTCACTACTGATGTTAAGGAATAAGTTTGATAACAAGGAAAACTGTCCTCCAACATGGGACAAGCCTGCCTGGGAAAAGAATCCCGAAGATGGACTTGGTTTGAATACTTAGTTGGTGGCAGGTGCCATGCCATGCACACTGCTGCACTAGCTCATTCTGTTCTCCCAGAATGCCCAGGGACACGCACTGCCGTGATCCTCACAGGACAGCTGGGGGCACGAGGGTTGGAGAGTGTCGTTGACTTCTTCTCAGTCACATGGCTAGTGAATGGACGGGGCGGTATGGGATCCTGGAGGCCGTGCGTGCTCCACCACTGATGCCAGGTAAGGGGTTGCTTCCATTGTGGGAAGTTCCCATGGCAAGATGGGACCATCGTAGGTAAGCTCTGGAGTCTTGAACCTCATTTCCTGATGCTGAGAATTGAAACATTAGCTCCAACCTCCTTGGCCACCGCGCCCACCTGTCACCTTCCTATTTTACAGAGATGGGGGAGAGTCCGACCGTCTATGGAAGGACAGGAAGAGGAAAGAGATGGATGGACGATGGAATCGAAGAGGACACCTGGAGGAGGGTGCGTTCCTGGGGCCAGGGAGTGGCCTGACGTTCATGTCCACGAAAGGTGTGGCTGGCACAGGGAGGTCTCCCCCGGGAGAATGTCTTGAAATAACCAGACGTGGGAGCATAGTTCCAGGTGGAAGAACAGGGTCCTGCTAGCATAGAAGCCAACGCCTTGGACGGCAGTGTGCCCAGCTGCCCCTCTGGTGGTCTGGACACGGCCTGCCCCGCGGCCCCGCGGGGATGCCAGCCAGTTATGGTGAACTTGACTTTCTCCCGTCCTGTCTCTCTAAAGACGCGGCAGACGCTGAGAATGAAATCGGAGCCATTTTCATGGTGGGGAACTTTTAAACTCAATTTGATGACCGTGGCGATGGCGATGCTCAGATAGCCGGCCACTGGGTAGCAGAATAAATAACCTCCGGGTTCCTTTGGAATTCGTGAGTGATGGCCCGCGGTGATCCGGGAAAGCCTGGGAGAGGCCCAGTTAATAAAATCTCCCCGAAAAACATCAACATTTCTGCCCAACAGGGCTTTGTGTATTAATTTCAGGAGGTGGATGGTCATTTTTCCCCTTTAGCACAGACAGAAGCCGAATCCCCTTACACTGAGCGATTTTTTCCCCTCTGCTTCACAGAAATGTCATCATCATCTCCTGCCCCCACACTCCACGGCTTGTCACTGGGCTCATTGCTCTTGTGTGTACCTTGATAAGGCCCTGGGGCCGGTGGCACTGGTTTTAGGTTTTGGCTTCTCCCAGCGGTGGCTTGGAGGCTCCTGGTGACATTCCCTGCCTTGCACGGAGCAGGTGGCTTTGTGAGTTTTCCTGCTCTAGTGGCTTCTTCTCGCCTGGGTGAGTGGAGGCACAACCTCACCCCTTCTCTGCGTCTGAAAGATGGCAGCGTGGGCTTGTGCCAGTGGCTAAGGGGCTCACCCCCGGGAGCGGGCGAATCATCTGGAAGTGGTGACTTCTCTCAGCGTGGTTTCATGGGGGGCACCTGAGAGTGGTCATGGGGCACCCCCAGGACTTCCTGTAAGCACAGGTAATGCCTCTTTTCACGGGGACACAAACGTACCTTTTCTCATGGTAGCCCTCGCATGCCTACAGTCACTCTCTTTGCCTAAACCAGGGGTGGGGAACCTTTTTGCTGCCAAGGGCCATTTGGATATTGATCTCATCATTCCCAGGCCATTCAAAAATCATCACCTTAAAAACTTAGCCTGTTCTATTTGGTCAAACGTTTCATTAACTCACCCCTACTGCCTGGGCAGGGCCAGATCAAAGGATTTCACCGGCCTCGTACGTCCCCCATCCCTGTTCTAAAGGGCGTCTCTGCTAACAGGCCCCAGGCCCCGCGTGACATTCTCAACCACGGGGGTTTGGAACAAGCCCATTCTTTCACTGGACAAAGTTAGGCCTAACCTTAGAGAGGGAAGCATTTCTGAACAAAGCCCTCTCGGGTCACCCGGTGTGAGACGTGGGACAGCAACTATTGAGAGACTCTCCCAGTGGAAGTTGTTGGTGGTTCACGTCGAGTTAGAGTTCTAACGTCTTTGTTAGTTTTATATAGGAAACTAATCTGGGGGAGGGAAGAGAGCACCTGTTTCACCCACCGAGAAAAACAAATTGCCATCGTCTCCCAGCCCACGTGATGGGAGCACCGGCAGATGGAAGCGAATGGGGTCCCTGTGCTGACTTGGGCTTGAAAGTGCTGAGACGGGGACTGGGGGCTTCAGCTGCCTTTCGGAGAGGGACCGGCGGCTGGGAAGAGGAGTCGGAGGAAGAGGCCGGTGCGGTGGGGAGGAACAGGCGGGCTCATCGCGCACAGAAGCCGGGTGGGCGGAGCTACTCACAGGTGTTGGCCGTGCCCTTGGGGATGGGGAGGTAGGAGCCCGGGCTCCACGGCCGGCCCTGGTAGTTCTTCTTGCACTTCCCGCAGTCGGGCCCCGTCGTGTTGTGCTCACACTCACAGGCCAGCTTGCTGTTGTCGTACACGCACACGGTGGCGTGGAGGTTACATTTGCACCTGGGCGGGAGAGACAAGAGGTCACGGTCAGGGAGGCCGGCCTGGGGGTCTGTCACGGGGTGGTGGCTCCAGGGCCACCCGGGAAAAGGCGGAGTTGCAGTCCCACCCTCAGAATCTTTCCAGCGAGTGCCCTGGGGGAGAGGGGGTGGCTGGGGTTCTGACACAGCCCGTCCTCACAGCCCACCGGGAGGAGTGCTGATCCCAGTGGGCCCGGGTCTGTTCTCTGGGGCCTGAAGCTCCCTGAGACAATCCTGCTCCGAAACCAAGGGGTTGCTCCCCTCCTTACTACCCCCCTCACCAGGCATCCACACCACAGCCACACCTGAGAGGTTCTGCTGGGATACCATCACATCTATGACAATTGCATGTGGGTTGGAACTAATGTTCGGCTCTGTTCTCCCTGAGACCAGAGGACAATGCTTTTTGTTTATTTTTATGTTTAAAAATATTTTTTATTGATTTCAGAGAGGAAGGGAGAGGGAGATAGAAACATCCATGATGACAGAGAATCATGGATCGGCTGCCTCCTGCACCACCTCAGAGCCCGAAACCGGGGCATGAGCCCTTGACCGGGATCAAAGCCGGGACCTTTCAGTCTGCAGGCTGATGCTTAATCCATTGAGCCAAACCAGCGAGGGCAATTCTTATGTGCTTAAGAAGAAAGATAGCCATAGGACAGTGTGCTATATCGATGTATTTCACGGAGCCTCTGTGGCTATATCAGCTGCTCTCATGCCTCAGCCCAGCCCGCATCTCCCATCAGAAGCGTTTCTCACTGAGACCCCTAACCAGCCCTCAGGTGCCCCCCTTACGGCCAATGCACTAGTCACCAGGGAATTTCAGAATTGGGTCACCTGGTGCAGGGAAAAGATGCTCTGTCTCCTAGCAAAGCAAAGCTTTTGGGGTCCTTAGCCCGGGCCTCACCTCCGGAGCCTTCCTGTGGAGCTATGATCTATGAGAGGCCACAGCAGAATCTGCAGTTTCCACAGAAACCATTCCAACATCCAGCGTCTTCGACTGCAGAATTGCAAAGGCCACCTGATGTGTGTGGAGGGAGCAGGCTATAAATTGTCACACCCCAGGCACGGGCCTCGTCCTCTCCATTAAAGCCTCGGTGGATGGAATGACCTGAGCAGAGGTCATTCGGGAAGGGGCGTGTCACTCAAAGGAGAGCCAGGACACTCTAAATAGGGGGGGGGGGGGGGGGGAGGTGAGAACCAAGATCTGCCACAGTCAGAACCTGAAAATGTTTCTCTGTGTGCATGTATTCTTATTTTTAAATATGTTTTTATTGATTTGAGAGAGGGGGGGGAGAGGGATAGAGATATAGCAACATGGATGAGAGAGAAACATCATCAATTGCCTGCCTCCTGCACCTTCCTCTCCCCTCACACTGGGAATCGAGTGTGAAACCTGGACCTGTACTCTGACCGGGAATCGAACCAGTGACCTCTTGGTTCATGGGTCGACACCCAACCACTGAGCAACACCGGCTGGACTGTGTGTGCGTTTTTAAACTAGTCTGGCCTCTTCCAGGATGCGGTTTGAAAACACAGAAAGAAAACCAAGTTTCATAAAGACAAAGAAATACGATGGCGTTTTCCATCGCTGTCCTCTGCGGCAGCTGGCATGAGTCGGGAAAAGAAGGCTCCTCAGCAAGGGCTGCTGGTTTCTCTCGTGTCTGTCAGTGACAGCTGAGCGCACGCCTGCGCGGATGACGCGTGGGGAACGCTGACCCACACTCACGGCAGGGAAGCAAAGGGATGGCTCCGACCAGTCCTGACAGCGGCCAGGCTCGCTTCTGCAGAACAGCCCAGGGCATCCATGTTCCCGGGGATAAGCCTCAGCTTGTGGCCTTTGTAGCTACACCCTGCCCTCAGCAGAGCCATCGGAAGTGATGAGCTCTAAGGCCACTAGGCCAACAACCCCGATTCCACACGGACACGGACACAGACACAGACACGGACACAGACACAGACACAGACACAGACACGGACACGGACACGGACACGGACACGGACACGGACACGGACCCGGACCCGGACACGGACACGGACACGGACACGGACCCGGACCCGGACCCGGACCCGGACCCGGACACGGACCCGGACCCGGACACGGACACGGACACGGACACGGACCCAGACCCAGACCCAGACCCAGACACAGACACAGACACAGACACAGACACCACAGACACAGACACGGACACAGACACGGACACGGACACAGACACAGACACAGACACAGACCCAGACCCAGACACAGACACAGACACAGACACAGACCCAGACCCAGACACGGACACAGACATGGACACGGACACAGACACAGACCCAGACACAGACACAGACACAGACACACAGAGCCTCCGGAAATGGACATGAGCGCCATCTCTGACAAAGAGAAACATGGTTCAGTGAAGAGAACTAGAGAGTGTTCCGTTAGGAGCGGGGTCTTGTAACAACCCTCTCCGGGCAGGGGGCGGCTCGTGCTAAGCTGCCTGTTGACAGGAGCTCTCTCCTTTCAGCAGCAGCGCCTTTAGTTATGGGTGTGTGTACACGTGGAAGATGTTAGGGACCTTCGTGGTAGAAGCACCCGTGTTCACTGACTCTGCACCCTCTCTGGTGTCAGAAATTCCAAATGAGGAAATGAACAATGGGACCTCCCCCCCCCCCCCCCCCCCCCCCCCCCGCCCGCCATCCTCCTCGGCAAAGAATAGCTGGTTTCATGTGTGAAGACCAAGAATGCAATAATAATACGTTGGCTGATATATCTTGTTACTCTTAATACTTTCATACATGCAGTCACTTCTGAGATGCAGGCAATTTCCATCCTAAAGACTTCATATTCACTGCGAAAATAGTCTCTGAATAACAAGAGGAGGTGATAGAAGAATAGATTAATGTTTAGTGGGTCATCTCCACCTGCCCAAAAGCTTATGAGTCATTCTGATCTCAACTCAATTCATGACTCTGCCTGGTCTTTTCTGCCTCCTCTTGACACCCCACTATCTACCTTTCTGATTTCCTAAATGCTTCTGTGTGTTTAGTCTGGTGGATGGCTGCTTAAGACTCTGTGCTTTTAAAATTTTTACTCATTGGCATAAATCTCTCCCATCTTAATGTGTGCGTGTCGGGTGAAATAGCTACTTTGCACCTGGTCTTTCCCATTTGCCTCTTCAACGTTTTCCTCTCTCTTCTTGAGTTTCCTATGCTGGCTGTCTCTGTGTTCTCATCTTCTCATCTCGCTCTTTCCAGCTACCATAGCTTCTCTTGCCAAGTTCATCCACAGCCCTGGCTGGGTAGCTAAGTTGGCTGGAGCATCGTCCCATATGCCAAAACATTTCAGGATCAATTCCCTATCAGAGCACATGCTTATGTTTCAGTTTGATCACCCATTGGGGCACAAACAGGAGACAACCGATTGATGTTTCTCTCCCCCCTCCCCCTGCCCCCTTTCTTCCTCTCTCTAAAAATCAATTTAAAAAACAGACATATCCTTGGGTGAGGATTTTTTAAAAAAAAGATCATCCACAACCTCCTTGTTGAAAAGCCAATGGATATTTTCCCTGCCTCAAGAGCATCTTACTCCGTAGACCATTCCCTTTCCCCTGCTGGATTCTCTCCCCTGTTTCCAGAACCTTCTTCTCCTGTGTGTTTTCTTCCGGGCTGTTGTGAGGGTTCTGGCCCAGCAAGGTCGGCCTAAGTGACTCTCCTTGGGCACCCATATCCCGGTTGTCCCTTAGGCTTCCTCTATGGTCCTTAACTGCCTTTGAGTTATCGGCAAGTGAAAGCAAACTTGCATCCACATTTGTTCCCAGAAAAAAAAAAAAAATAGACATATGCAAAGTAAGCTCATATGTTTGAAAACAGTTCAGGAGATCCAGGGGTTCTGTGTTACCTACAAAGATCCAGGGAGCCCCCTCCTCTCCCTCCATCATCACCAGGTGAGGATTATCTGATTGACGTGTTGGTAAGTCCTGGGTCTCCATCTGCGCTCTCACGCCTGGGCCTCCCAGACTCCACACAACCCCAAATGCACACTTTGGCTTCCCACTCCCACCGAGACCTCCTCCTGAGGGTTCCGTCTCAGCACACAGGGCCACCTTCCAGTCAGTTGGTCGAGAATGACTCCTTCTCTCCCTTTCCTACCACATCTCCTTGACATCACTCAGCCTCTGAAGGTTCTGAGACGCCTCCTCCTCACAGCTCTCAGATCCACCCAGTTCTGGCCACCGCCACTTCCCTCGCTGAGATCAGCATCATCATCTTGGGTCTGGTTTGTCGCGATGGCTTCTACACAGAGCTTACTACCGGTACCTCCAATCACACTACTCTCTCACCCAATTTCCACGCAACAGTCCAAACCATCGCTTACTCCAAAATATGTGGGCCTCCCTGGCTTAGAACCATAGGAAGATTTCCCATTATTCTCAGGAGAGGGTCTACACTCTATAACACAATCTATGAGTTCCCGGGAAGTCTACCTCTTCTTCCACCGGAATGCCTTTCCCACATGCTCCTCTGATGCAGGCAAGGCCGGTCACTGTCTCTACGACAGCCGTGGATTGTATTTTTTTAAAAAAATAAATATATTTTATTTATTTTTTAAGAGAGGAAGAGAGAGGGATAGAGAGTTAGAACCATCGATGAGAGAGAATTATTGATCAGCTGCCTCTTGCACACCTACTGGGAATGTGCCCGCAACCAATGTACTTGCCCTTGACCAGAATCAAACCTGGGACCTTCCAGTCCTCAAGCCAAAGCTCTATCCACTGAGCCAAACCGGTTTCGGCATGCCATGGGTTGTGTTGTCACTGTGCGCTCCTGGGAGTGGCAGTCCCATCTGCCTGATTTACCACAACATCCCTAGCATGTGTCAAGCGCTGGTGCATAAGCACTCAGAAAATATTTGACCAATAAGCAGCTGGACAGAGCCCTGCTTGGACATCAGTACAAACTGTGACTGCAGCCGCAGATCCTGGCCATCTGTCCCCG